TCCCCCTTTGAGCGAACCGCACGTGGTGTTCACCTTGTCTACGGTAGACACTTGCTCTATGATTCTCCTGGCAAGGTCTTCAACCGGGGCATTACGGAGTTCCTCGGCGTATTTCCTCTCGTACTCTCTTCGATTTTTCGAGAGTTTGGCGGCTATTTTAGGGTCATCCAATTCCCTAAGTCTTTTCTCTTCGTCTTCTCTTTCCCTTCTTGTCAGCACCGCTTTCTTTATTTCATATTCTCCGGTAGTCACAGGCCTACCTCTCGTCTTACGCTCCTCCGGGAGTGAGCTGCTACGTTGCCCCGTAGGGCTCGTCGCCTCATCACCTTTATCTCGTCGTACCTTGGAACGAGACCTCCTTGTCCTCTCATCCCCATCTAAGGGGGATCCATCGATCTTCGCCTGCGAGCTGTTAACTTTGCCCGCTTTGGCGCACATTGGACCGGCCTTACAGCCAGGTTTGATTGTGCGCTTCGCGTCACTCCCTTTGGAGAAGCACTGGCTTCCCTGGGCGATGTCAGCACCATCACCTGGGCTCGCCCTTGACCCAGATGGTAGCTTCACTTGTTGTGTCCCGTCGTTGGCTAACGACGGAGAGAGACCAGGACGTTGCTCCTTAGAGCATCTCTCATCCGCCGGGTCTGGGGTATCCGACTCCCCTGGACCTGTAAACGTTATTCCCTTATAAGACATTGTCCATTAGAGATTGGTTTGGTTTATTTTCGGGGTGTCCTTCCCCTAGGCTGGTTGGCTTCGCCCGCCTCACGAGCCCAGCCTGCCCGAGCCCTTGGGTATCCCCGGGTTCGCCATACCCGTATCGAGAGCGCCCCCCAAGGGCCCCGAAGGACCCCCAGAGACCGCCCCCGACCCCTGAGGCACCGTCTGCCGGTCAACGCCAACGAAAGAACCCCGCCACCCCCACCCGCACGCAACGAGGGGTGGCCGGCCGAGAGACCTTGATCCCGGCTCCGGCCGAGCACGCTCGATCCCGGTCCCCGCCACGCACGAGCAGGGGACACGGAGCGCCCACGCCACCGCCGACCTAACGGACTCCACACTCGTCACCGGCCCTTACGTCCGGTGACCATACCCGCCGGCCCCGACCTGGGAATATGTCCCAGCGGCCCGACGGGTCACCCACCCAGGCAGCCCGACCCCGGCCTCCGAATACGTTGGAGCGGCTCGGGACTGCCCTCCGTGTTAGGGACACCGTGGGACCACGTTTCTGGTGTGCACGTCCCCAACACAGGCCTCCCCTCCGGTCGTCCCTGCACCATGTACAGGGACTCCCGAAAAAGGGTTACCCCCGTCTCCCCTGCCGGAGCACCGGCGTGCAATGGGTAGTGAGACGAGAGTCTTCCCACCTCATCGGCGAGACGGCATCCCTGCCCGCCTCGGAGATGAGGACCTCCCACCCGGATCCCCTAAAAGACCCCGGCAAAACCTCCCCCGCCCCGCCGGAGCACCGGCGTGCAATGGACGAGAGAGGCCCGCTCCCCCCGTGACGAGTCCGAATCACCCGACCTGCCGGAGCACCGGCGTGCAATGGTCGAGCAATTCGAGACCCACCCCACGGTTTTTTATCGAAGTTTTCCTTCCTCTAGGCCAGTGGGAGGAGTAGAAACTCCTCCCTCACGGTCCCTGCCGACCGGGCGATTGAAGTCAGGGCCGCCAACCCCTACCAGCCGTTGGAGTCCGCGCAGCCGGGAATGTACCGGGCCTAGACCCGGGGTGACCCGACTGGACGGACTCCTAAGCAGGGCGACCGGTCCCCCGGTTTTCTGTCAGGGTTTTCCTTTCCTTAGGTCAGTTGGGGGAGCAAAGGCTTTCCCCTCACGGTCCCGACCGACCGGACAGTTGTTTATAGAGGTAGTCTGCCTCGCGAGTCCTAAAAAAGACTCCCCGGTCCACGACAGACCCTGCGGAATGCCGTGGATTACGGTACTGATGTGCTCGGGTACTCCGGGTACGCAAAACCCGTAGTGGAGGGGTCCCCTGGGCCCCTAGAGGCTCCGGGAGGACTCCCCCCACCCCCTGGAGGGAACCTAACCTAACCTAACTTAACCTAACCTAACCTAATCTAACCTTGCAGCCGCACGCATCGCAGGAGACGACAAGGGCACCAACAGCAGCGCTCCCGAGATGGACGAGGCGGAGCCACGTCCAAATTAGCATTAAGTACAGCGTTCGCGTTCCGAGGATGGGGTCACAGGCAGCAGCCGCTATCGATTTTTGTTTGTTTATTCTGACGACTTAGGTGTAAGGAGAGTGACCACATCCGGCGCATGAGGCATAAGGTTGTTTAATTTAGGCATAAGGTTGTTTAATTTTCAGTTACGCAGTTCCGAGTCCAATCCCGAAGGTGCGGAGACAGCAGTTCGTGCGGCGGTGCGACAGGGCTTGAACCCGCTCACACTTGCGAGACAGGGAAAGCGCTCGCGCGAATGATCGGGACGCGTCCGGAGAATATGACGTACGAGCCGTGACGACCCACGGGGCGGAAAGACGTCGTCTAGCGAAATGGACGAACCGTCCGTAATTTTAGTAATTAAGCGACACGCGCGTTAAATAAACAGTTCTGATCGTTAAGGTAGATCCGCGAAGTACGACACGCGGGTCAGAATCGAAATCTGGCCAGAGATAAAAAAGATGGCGGACCGTCGGGAAATTTTGGAACCGACGGCACGGCGGTAAGAGAATACGTCCCTGACTAACGAGAAGGTCCCTAAGATCGTCCATATCCGATCGCCGACAAAATCCGACAGCCAGCGACAGAGTTACAGGACCGTCCGTCATCTCGCGACCTGGACATCTTCCGCGGGGAAGAGCCGCGGCAGGCATTGTACCAGGTACGGATTAGGTGTCAGGAGGGGTCAGCGTCGTCGGCAGGCCCGGGGGGAACAACGCGACACGACCACCGGGAGGTCAAGTAGGTAACCGAGCGTCATCCTCGGGGGAAGAACAGCGGGTCACGCTGACTGAGACCCGGTACACTCGGGGAACGGGTCGCCGCCAATGTCCGATCGCCCGGACGCGAGATACGGCGACATGTCGCCGGGACTCGAGAACCGGACGGCATCCACGGGGAACGAGCCCGGAATCGGACTAGAAGGGACCGCCGAAGGGGGACCAGGGGTCGCCGTCAACGGCGGAGGTCGCGATCGCGACGTAGACATCCTCTTCGAGGAGTCGACCCGGGGTCGCGTAAAGGGACAAAGGAGAAGTCGTGCGCACGGGTCGGCGTCGTCGTGGGTGGATAAATGTGGGAGTTGGAAAACCACTACCCGGGGTCCGTCTCCGGACGTCGAGTGGATGGTACTCCGAATGGAAATTTCCACCGCGGACATAGGGTTCAGCGGGGAGCGGGCAACGTATATTGTAACTGCGTAGCGGCGAACATCTGGCGCACACCTGTCGACCCGAAAGTCGTAAACAACCATTGTTAACGAGGCGAGTGGAAAATTACCGCGAGGAGAAAGCGACCGAATACCCTGTGGTGGGGGAAAAAGCGCCGTAGGTAGGGAGCCCGAGAGTGGAAGATTGCTCGAGGCAGTCTGTCGGGGATGTTCGAGCGTGTAACACGTAATCAACTTTGCTCTGTTTCGTCGCGCTAAGTCACCGCGATCGTCATACAAGTGCTATAATTACGGCTCGCCAACATTCGTAACAACCGGCAACGCCCGCGGAACGCGTTAATTGTCGTCTTTACAAAGACGAACGGCCTTTTTAGACCGAAATAAGATCGTGCGTCGTAGATAAACGGGGCGTGTGTGCCCACGTATCCGAGCGTCCGACATCTTTTGTGACTTAAAGTTTTGTGAACAATCAATACTGGAAATCAAAATAATTGAATAAATTATACATCCTTTTCGTAAAAGATTTCGAAAATTTATTAAATTGGACTTACCTTCTACGTACCTGATCCATTGGCGTCGATCACTCGAAGTCCCTCGTTGATCCTAGATTTCGGTGGCAGCGACGATCCTGATCGATGACGGCGATGATCCGCAGTGGCAGGAAGCTGAAAAAAGAAGAAAATTAGTCTAATTAATAGTTCGAGATATCGTTCGATACTTACCTTCTCGGTGGTTCAAAGGTCAAACCGAGTG